AAATACCTTGAGTTCTATACAAAGAACATATAAGTTAACTATTGGAGCTAAACTCTGCCGATAGTTCTATACGCTCTTCCAAAACAATAGTAACAATATCAATATAATTTATGCAGCATGTAGATCATTTTCAAGTTTATACTGGCTTTAACTGACCCACATTGGTCATGTTTTTCGTTTTATTTTAGACATCGATAAATTCATTTGATTTTGTTGGTCAAAAAAATTTGACATATGTGATATTACATGAAACTGATGCACAAAAATCATTTCTCTAAAAATTTTTAATTACATGTAGTTTTTTATTCAACTAATATTTTTTAAATAATTAAATTATTCAAATGCAGAAATCACTTTTTCCCCATCACTTTTATGTATTGGCTTACTATTTCCCATAAACAACGCTGAAATAAACATTAATGCACCATATAGTATGGTAAGCAAAAAGGTGAATTGAAATGCTATCACATAAGCGTGAATGACCAATGACCGTGTATCTGGTGGTAATGATTGTATAGTATATACGGATTGTGTTGAAAAGGATGGAGGTAAAGTTAAAGAACTTAATTCTTGAGAAAGTTTATTATTGAATGTTGTTCCTGATATTGCAATTCCAAAAACAGCCCCAACTAAAGAGAAAAATATAGATAATGAATTAACAAAATAATTTAAGGAGTTTGCTAAAAAAACTAAACTTTTTTTTTAATACTTACTGCTCCTAAAGAATAATGTTAATGTAGTAACCGAAGCTACATCCTTCGGCTCAACCAATTCCTGAACGCATAATATAATAGATTGAATACTTGTGCCAATTCCAGCACCACCAATTAACATGTATCCTATAAATTCACCATATCCAGTATTTTCCTTCCACATAGTGGTTAATCCGGCACCGATTATTGTCAATGCCGAGGCAATTAGAGTCACTAATCGAAACTGTATTTTGTCTGTTCGAGAGAATAGTTGACCGGTTAGGATCGAGAAAGCTACCACACCAAGAATGTAAGGCATGAAATCTAATCCGGATTGTGTAGCTGTTTAAAAAAAAAACATATATGTTGTTAAATTTATTTGATGCTTAACGAAGAATTTAATTGATAAATATACTTGCCTGAATCATCTTTTACAACTTGAAAGTAAAGTGGTGCATAAAAAATATAACTAAAGAATACCATTCCTTGAAAAAAGCTTGTGAGGAAACATGAGACTACATTAAGAATTTTAAATAAACGTGCTATTAAACAAAAAGAAAGAAAATTTTAGTATCAATATTATAATAGATTATTAATTATAATAATCATTGCAAATAAATCAAGTCATGAATACTTACGTGGAGCAATGGGTTCAATAACAATATAATTCTCAACAAGACCGAAAATTATGTAACCAAATGCGCCGACACATAAAAGTACTATAATCACGGGACTATCCCAAGGATAAGTGCTGCCACCCCAATTGAGAGATAATAAGATACAAACAGTTGAGGAGATCATAACAATGGTCCCGATAATATCAACTCTCTTAATTTTATTAAGAAATGAACCGGGTGGTTTTGGTAAGTGAAGAAACCTAACTACAGCGATTATTGTTATTGCACCTAAAGGAAGATTGATGAAGAAACACCATCTATTGTTTTGGGAAAATAAGTTTTAAGATTGTATGATATAAAACAATAATAATATGATTAGTGTTTTTTCACCAATAAGGTAACCACCCTTTACATGCGTACCTCCAACTGACATGATCAGTAAAAGCACCACCCAATAGAGGGCCTGCTACGGAAGCAACACCAAAGCATGCGCCAACAAGGCCTTGGTATTTTCCACGAGCTTTAGTGCTAACAATATCTGAAATAATAATTAAGACGAGACTAAAGAAGAAAAATAAAAAAATAATAATTTAGAATGCATAAAAATTTGATATATATCAATATAACAATGAAGTATGTACCCAATGATACCAGCACCTCCGATACCAGCGATTGCACGGAATATTATCATTGATATCTAAAAAGTAAAAAGGTGATGAGTATTCAAATTAAGAAAATGAAAAATGAAAGATAAGTTATATTACCATATTGGTGGCAATACCACATAACAAACTGCCTAATTCAAAAATGGTAATTGCAACTATGAATGTTACTTTACGACCAAAAATATCAGATAATTTTCCATAGATTGGTTGAAAGGAAGTCTGTGTTGATAACATGATTCACGTGAGTATCACATGATATATAATTCGAACGAAGTTGAATCAATGTATAATATTATTACCGTTGTAAGTAGATAAGAAGTTGCAACCCACGCTATTTGATCTAATCCATTAAAATCTGAAACTATTTTAGGTAAAGCAGTGGAAACAATTGTTTGGTCTAAGGCGGCTAAAAATACAGCACATCCTAGACTATAATATGGCAAGTAAAACTAAATTATTAATTTAATCATATAATTAGAACAATAGGAAATTAATCTCTACGAACCCAAAAACAACTAAATATAATTCAATTCCATGTAATAAAGTATCGTTAGACGATGACGAGCTATTGTCTTTAATAATCTGATCATCGAAATTTTTTATAGTTTTTATGGTTACAGTTGCATCTGACACTAACGTAGCTTGACGTTCAATGTCTATTTCATCATGTGATGTGGATTGATTTTGTAACATTTTATTTTTCGTAACTGCTAATTATTATGAATAATGCTATGTGTGCTTTGTATGCTTTGTAAGTTGAATGCTATGCTACTATGCTATAATATTAAATTATTTTTAATAGTTATTTTGGTAAAAATTAAACCGTTAAAATTAATTGAAGAAAATTTACAAAGATTAAGCGGAAAAAAAGAATCTACAAGATAATTTACAAGTCGAAAATTCTCTAAGTCTACATCGCTCGAAATCTCAGTCTTTTATAATTTTTCTTAGATAAAAAGTATAATGAATGAGACATTAATATAATGCATGGAAAACTTCATTTATAATATGCTATGCAAAATGACGTTCCTATAGATAATCTGAATTTTTATTCCACGCAAAACATAGTTGGTTCATGTTAAATGTTTTTCCACAGAATAAAATTTTTAATTTCATCGGTAGATTGTTGTGCCGATACAATACTAAACAGAAAAGATCATCCAAATACTTTTGAAATGATTGGCATTCGCAGCTTATTAATATGAACATTAACTTATAAGGGGGACGTCTAAAGCCGTGTCCAGTCACGTGTTTTTTGTTTTTAATTAAAGTTAGGGTAAGGGTTAGTTTGG